AGTTCGAAAATATTTTTCCTCTCCTCAAGTCCTAGGCTAGACTCATGCCATAAGGCATCACATGCAATCATGCATCATACATCATACATGGTCTGCCCACCATCATGATCAACAATCATACACATGTCATAAGACATCACATGCAATAATGCATCATACATCATACATGGTCTACCCACCATTATGATCAATAAACATACCCATATGAACATATACACATGTCATATCATATTCAACCATTCATACGTATCATCACAAAGCAAACATATGAATCATACTTCACCATACATCATATATCATACATACATGATCTAAAACATTAACTTTAAACATGCATAAGCATCAATTTAAATCATTTATTTATAAATATATTCACGCACAGCGCAGTCAGCTCGCGCCTGGCCTAACACCAACCTAAGAGCTCTAAGCTCTTCCACGCCTGACGCGCTCAACCCGTGCCCAGCCTAAATCCTAGTCAGAAAGTTCAAAACTCTCATCCAAACTAATAAACTCAGCCACGTGCAAACACAAAACACAATGCATAGGCTCCATACGACTCAAAATAAACTTAAATCTCATATGCATCCAACCTATGCATCAAAATCATCAAAATCCTGCTTTTTCTCAAAACCCCAAAAAAAATGAGATTTTCTTCAATCCTTCCATGGATTCTCAACATTCATGCACCTATTGAGTTTCTAAACTCACATGCAACCTAAACAACAAACATTCTAGCTTCCCTCACTTGAAAATTGGCTCAAAATAGCCAACAACTAAGACGAAATAGAATTCCCTTCCAAAGTTCAACCCGGAACTTCAATCCTCCCAAAGCAAGCTTTCTAATCTGAATTTCATGAAAAGACATAAGGCATTAGTGATCTAGAGGAGAAAAGGAATCATACAGAGAAATTTAGGAGAGAAAGGAGCTCACAGACCTAGAGACCTTCTCTCTAAAACTTCTCTCTAAAAACTCACATTCTCCTTAAGGCCCACAACCCCTATTTATAGACATTTCGGAGTGGCCAGAACGGCCTGTACCGAATCCAGAATAACCCGTTCTGTATCCCTTCGTCATGTGCAAAAACCACATGCAGAACGGCCGGTTCTAAAATCAGAACGGCCCATTCTGGAACTCATCTAGAACGGCCCGTTCTCCATCCAGAACGGCCCGTTCTCCCTCCAGAACGGCCCGTTCTCAACTACGATTTACAGGTCAATTTAATAGCTTGGAACGGCCCGTTCCAGATTGGGAATGGCCCGTTCTGGGCTACTAAATCACCTATATTGGGCTTTCTAAAACAACTTGCTACGTTACAATAGACACCGTGAGATCGAAGACTACCCCTAAAGTAGTTGTTGTGACACCTCTCAAATTTGACATTACGCAACTTTTCCTTAGTTAGAATCTTTCACCAATTTAAACCTCTCATGAGTAACCCTTTTTGAGATGCCCAACTATTTTTAGGATCAACGACTGTTCCCACAAATCAATACAAGACTTTTCAGCATATTTTGTCATCACTTGCATATTTTCTAGGAAACTTCTTAGAATGTCACTCATCTTGATAGTGTTTGCTCAGTCATTATAAAAAAAAATAACTAGGTTCCACATAGATTTGAAATATAAGGGATAACCTAGCTCATTCTTCTCAAAGAAACAAATAAATTGAATTAGAAATTATCATCCAATGCTTTAGTAGTTTTTTTGGGATCTTTCTTTAATAATATGTGACATTGGAGTTAGAGGACTTTTGTATTTTATTTAGTTATGGTTTGAGTTTAAAAAAGGTCTTAATACATTATTTCATGCTAGAGGTTTTGTATAAGGTCAGTTTGTGTCTTCGTTTATAAACTCTTGTTTTATTTATTTCACTAAATTGTTTGAAGAGTTTTTAACATGCAAACTCTTTTACGAAATGAATTTAAGTTACTCTTTTTATAATAAAATTTTAATTAAATATATTTTCTTAATAAAAGTTTTATAATAGTACTTTTAGAGTAGGAGGGTGTCACACTTTTGAGAGTTTCTCTTATGGAAATAAAAAGTATTTTTAATAAAGAAATTTTCAAAAATATTTCTAAACTTGTATCCAAAAGAACTCGAAGTTATATTTTTTCTTTCAAAACAAATTAAATAATTATTTTATTTAAAATTTATTATTAAATTGAATTGTGAGTTGGGTCAGATATTACTAAGTCAAAATGAATTGTAACTAACTTAGTATAGCTTGACTTATTTCTGACCTTATTATAAGGTAATATATGTAGGATTGTGATTGTAAATAATGCTATGTGAAATAATGTTTGGTTGAATATTTGGTGTATGTTAAGCCACATGGTCTTCATTGGCAAGCAATATGTGATAGGAGATTTTATTTTTTTTAAATTTTAAGTTGAGAATATTAATTTTTATAATACCTCCATTTCTATATATAAGACTCAATTACTTAATTTATCATGATTGAAAAAAATAATTAATTTAGTTGATAATAATATTTTTTTCTATATATATATATAACTATTCTTATACAACTTCTTTTAATTAATCCTTGTATATCTTTTATCCAATTATAGTGCACTATTTCTCTCTTCTAATTAATAATTTCTTTTCTTTTAACCAATTAAAATACATACTTTTCAAAAAGTATATAATTAATGCATTTTATCAAATTAAGATACAACACTTTAATTATAGATATTTTTAGTTAAAAAATAATTAATATATAAAATAATATGAATCTAATCTTATATAAATTAGTAATTAATTGTTCTAAGTTGAATCTTAGAAATAACTACATAGATAGTATTTAATACATTTTTATAAAGTATTTTGAAAAATTCATATTTTAAGAAAATTTTTAAAATATATTTCTAATAAAACATTCTTGTAGAAGGGCGTCAGAATTTTAAGTTACAATAAAAGTGAGAAAATTTGAACCATATTATAATAATGTTTACATTTATTTAAAAATATATTAATAACATTCTTAAAATTATCACTTTACAAAAATACGTTTTCCCAAAAGTATAACCCTCAGAAATTTAAAAATATTCTACTTGCCAAACAGAACGAAATATCTTAAGAAAATCGTGGCTGGCTTCGTTGTTTAAAGTACTAAAGAGTAAAGAGCACCATCCTCTTTGAATTAAAAACAAAATGAACACCAACCGGGAGTTACATAATAACAAAAAAATAAAAGCAAGATTAAATGATGAATGTAGTGAGCTTCATGAATGCACTTATTTTCCCATGGCAGTGAAGACAGTTTATGCTGCACCCAATGAACGACTGCCACTGCCACGTGTCCACACGTGCCACCTATTTCCTGTCTCCTTTGCTCCGATGGAGTTAGGTTAGAAGCCGTCTTTTCACAGCCTCTCCGATTTAATCGCGGTACCCTTTTTCCTCGAAACCTCGCACTTTTCACTCACATGCACTTTCTTCAGTTTTCACCTCCAAAACCTAAAATGAAACCCAAATGCACTCCACATAAATCCCAAACCCAAATCCACCCCACTCACTAACCTTATCTCTCTCTCTCTCTCTCTCTCTCTCTCTCTCTTTCTCTCCACCTAACCCATCACCCCACTCCGCTTCCCTCTTCAGCCGCCAAAACGCGACTAACGACTTCACTCTCAGCCAATTCCCCCAAACGGTGCATGGAATGACGGAGTACCGCTCCCCGCCGACCATGAATCTCTGGACCGACGACAACTCCTCCGTCATGGAGGCCTTCATGAGCTCCACCGACCTCTCCTCCCTGTGGCTGGCCCCGCCGCAATCCGCCGCCTCAACCACCACTCCGGGGCCCGACACCACCAGAGCCCCGCCGCCGCCTCCGCCGTCCCAATCCCAGTCCCTCCTCAACCAGGAGACCCTTCAACAGCGCTTGCAGACGTTAATAGAAGGCGCTAGAGAGAGCTGGACCTACGCAATTTTCTGGCAGTCTTCTTACGACTACTCCTCCGGCGCTTCCCTCCTCGGTTGGGGCGACGGTTACTACAAGGGCGAGGAGGACAAAGGAAAAGGCAAGGCCCCCAAAACGACGTCGCTCGCAGAGCAGGACCACCGCAAGAAAGTTCTCCGCGAGCTCAATTCATTAATTTCTGGTCCTTCTGCTTCGCCCGATGATCTCGACGAGGAGGTAACCGACACGGAGTGGTTCTTTCTCGTTTCCATGACTCAGTCGTTTGTCAACGGCACCGGCCTGCCGGGCCAGGCTTTCTTTAATTCCAGCCCCGTGTGGGTCGCCGGGGCCGACCGGTTATCCGAATCGGCCTGCGAACGGGCCCGGCAGGGGCAGGTGTTTGGGCTTCAGACGCTGGTTTGCATACCGTCCGCAAACGGCGTCGTTGAGCTGGCCTCCACGGAGGTTATTTTCCAGAACCCCGATCTGATGAACAAAGTGCGGGATTTGTTCAACTTCAGCAACCCCGACGCGGGGTCGTGGCCGTTGAACTGCGTTGCCACCGATCAGGGCGAGAACGACCCTTCCTCTCTCTGGCTCAACCCTTCTTCCTCTGTTGAAATCAGAGACTCCGCGGTGGCGCCCGCTTCAGCGAATGCAACAGTTAACAAGGCGTTGCAGTTCGAAACCCCGGGCTCCAGCACGCTAACCGAAGCCCCTAGTGTTGTTCACGTCCCCCACGGCAACGCTCAGCACCCGTCGCAGAACAACAAGGGTTTCTTCCCGAGGGAATTGAACTTTTCGAGTTCGTTAAAACCCGAATCCGGTGAAATTCTGAGCTTCGGGGAGAGCAAGAAGAGTTTGTTCCCCGCTGTTACCGTCGAGGAGAAGAACAAGAGGAGCTCAACCGTTTCCAGGAGCACCATTGACGATGGAATGCTCTCCTTCACTTCCGGCGTCATCCTGCCAGCTTCCAATATGAAGTCCGCCGCCACAGGCGGCGACTCCGATCATTCGGATCTGGAAGCTTCCGTGGTGAAAGAGCCAGACGGCGGCAGAGTGGTGGAGCCGGAGAAACGGCCTCGGAAGAGGGGGCGGAAGCCGGCGAACGGCAGAGAGGAGCCGCTGAATCACGTGGAAGCGGAGAGGCAGAGGAGAGAAAAGCTGAACCAAAGATTCTACGCGCTTCGGGCGGTGGTTCCCAACGTGTCGAAGATGGACAAGGCGTCGCTTTTGGGCGACGCCATATCCTACATAAACGAGCTCAAGTCCAAGCTCAATGGGCTGGAATCGGAGAAAGGGGATTTGGAGAAGCAATTGGATTCTGCAAAGAAGGAGCTCGAGCTCACAGTCACAACTAAAAACCCACCTCCTCCGCCTCCACCTGAGAACGAGGCCGATAAAACCACGGCCATGCTGGTTGATTTGGATATAGACGTGAAAATCATTGGTTGGGATGCCATGATTAGGATCCAATGCAGCAAGAAGAACCACCCGGCGGCGAGGTTGATGGCGGCGTTGAAGGAGCTGGACCTGGAAGTGCATCATGCCAGCGTGTCCGTGGTGAATGAATTGATGATTCAACAAGCCACGGTCAACATGGGAAACCGCTTCTACACGCAGGAGCAGCTCCTAGTGGCGCTGTCGTCCAAAGTTGGGGATGCTAGATAATTCTGCACCATTGCTAGCAGTAGCTGTAGTTGTCTATGTAAACTAGTGTTCTTTTCTTATTTTGGTTAGTCTTTTTTTTTCTTTTTTCGGTGTAGCTTAGTCTTAATTAAATTTTTGAGGTAATTTGATTTGGGAAGCTGAATGGGCTAGGGCTAGGGCTAGCGGACGGTTTTTCTTCAGGGAAGAAATGGGGTACTGTAGCAGCTCTCATGAAGTCGAAGTGGACTATTTTTGTGTTAATAGTATCTGTCTAGATTGTATATATGTTTATCCATTATCATAAATGTGATCTGAACTTGGTGAATTTTCGGCCTATTTGTTTAAGCTTAAGCTTATTATCCTTGATTTCTTGCCAGTTCTGTGTGATCATGTTAGTCGTTTGTGTTTTCAGCTGTTTTAGCACACTGCTTCTTGTGGTATATCTGCTACGGAATGAAGCATTTTTAGGTCTGAATCTCGTGATTGGGTTCTCAAAATGTGTGTTGGTTGTCTGATCTATCGCTGGAAGTGTTTGATTTTTGTGTGGTGAAATGGAACCCAAACAAAAGGACAAAGAAAACGTGCTGGGGAACAGTGGGGCATTTCATCTCTTGTCCTTTCTTAACCGGAATCGTGTACCTGGCCGAGTGGAGTGGGTGGACCCTTTTCAGCCATGTGATAAATGCATACCCTCACAAAGTTCTTGGTTTAACTCTCTTTTGTCGCGTAGAAGTTTTTAACTTCATTTTTTGGGTGAATATGTTTTTGACTTACTAGCACTATTAGATCTCTGGATTATTTTTCCCACCAGCTAAAGATAGTTTCCTGTTAAGGTATTCTGAGAAGTAATAAAGTTTTGACCCTACGTACTTTAACCCTGAAAATATCCTCCGACATGCGTGGTAGGATCAAGGTAAAAAAAAAAAGTATTCAATTCTCTTTTTGCCCCAAAGTGGGCTGTGTACTAGGCTCTTGGCATGTGGTTGTGGAATCGGAATCACCCTTAATGGACTAACATGACGGACTGTAATAAGCAGTTCACCATTAGAAAAGAACCCAAAAGTGAGGTGCTTTCTCTTTAAGCTATATTTGAAATAATAACGGAATGGAAGCTGGCTTTGAGATTTATTGCTAGCTCCTAAGAATATAGGAATAATATATCTCTTCTAAATATATCGAGAGCATTTGACTACTGTTGGTTGTTACTTTTCAGAAATTTAGTATTTTCTCCTTGTATTGTCCACCAGCCGATTGTTGTAACTAAGGAGCCGTCCAATTAATTAATTAAATAATAATAATTAGATCGTATTTGTTAGACGGAGAAAAAGTTAGATAACCCTGTCACAATTCATGGTTTTTGTTAGCGTTTTCCATGAGAATCATGCAAGTGACCTTAATAGTGTTCGCAATCAATAATACAGATTTGCAGTCATGACGGTGAGGGTTCAATCTCTTGGTCTTTGTTGCCGCTGAATAGTAGACGTTTCGTTTATTTTATGTCAAAATTTAGTTTCTCCAATGAGAAATGGAGTTTCACATTGATAATTTGCATAAATATATATTACCAAGGTCTATATAAAAATAAAATAAATTTTATTGAGTTCAAATTTTAATTTTTATTGAAACACCAACAATAGTTATAATATTATATATGTTTTGTCATTTATTTTAATAATTTAATTACTCATTTGATCTTTATAATGGTACAGATATTATTTGTAACAATCTGATAGGTCACTACATGAATATAATGTACATACATTACAATGTAAAACATAACATCATCTATCTTAGGAAACAACACATAGATACCACATTGATGAGTGTACCTTAATTGCAAAGGACATACTTTGTTCTTTTTTATCTTGTTCATCTTCTTAGATGTCCCTTCATAAGTGAATTCTAGGATATTCTATAACAACTTGTCAGGCCACTATACTTGGTATGACACAACAATTAAGCAATAGGAAACATAAACATCAACTTAGCCTAAGATTATTTTACAAGACGTACGTGAACATTCATGCAATACATATATGTACAGAATGCAAAAAAAATAAAATCGTCCTTGCTATTACCAATTGGAAAACGTAAAGCCCCCTTATGGGATTACAAAACCTATGTACTTTTATACATAACAACTAATAATATTTGTTCTAAAACATAAAATCCTCAGCACTGGTCAATCAACTCTAAGAGAAAAATGCACAACATAACTTGATAAGCCTTCTGTAAATGGCTAACCAACTCCATGTTCACTCTCCACCTAAACTTAACCTATTCTCATACCAAATATGATTATCATAGACCAACACATGAAAAAGTAAGGATAAGGAGGAAACCTTGACCACAAACCATGGTCGTGTAAAGTAAGGAACCATTGCTAACAAGAGTATGGTGAACCTTTCCATCGAAGTCTTAATCCATTCATAGCATGAATAGGAGGGTGTGATGCCATCTAGATTCCTTTCCATTGGGGTTGGTGGAAGGCTCTAGAATTGTGGTGTTGTCTAACACAAAAGAACATGGGGTTCTTTCAAAGGCCTTCAATTCCTTGTCTCACCTGTGCCCCTAAGAACTAAACCATTTACAACTAAAATTCCTTGCTTTCCATAAGGATGGAGTGATGTAGGATCAATACAACTAATAATATTCTTAAGAACAAAGTGTTGTCATGAAGAATGGAAGATTGGAAAAAGAGAATTGAACTCTTGGTTATAGGTGGGGTAGTTGAAAGTGGCTTCATAAGAAGTTATTTTCAAAGAAGTAATAGGATGTCCATATTTCAACAAAACAACTCCTACACCTGAAGTTAGATTCATGATATTCTAACTTAAAAGTTTTAAAATTATTTCAAAGAGCTAGAACATTTGCATGGAAAAGCTAACTCTATATATAAGGGTTGAAAAGCTCGCTTTAGCTTCTCTTCCCTAAAGGAAGGAACAATGTTCTTTACCAACTCATTGAGTGGTGGTTCAAAAGTTTGTTGAGATAGATATTCCTTTTGATTTTACTTTTTTAGAGAAAAATGAATTTTTCTTAACAACCTCTCAAGAAGAAACATCTTTCCCCTTTTCACCCTCATTCTCTAAGAGTTATTTTTGTTTCTATTTTATTTTCTCATTTTCTTTCATAAGTTTAATTTGTGTTTGATCCTCTGTCACTTTGGTAGGTGTAGGACGATGTAACACATATCTTTTTTTCTTAATGGGTGAAGGTTATCTCGTTAGTAAGGTCATTATCCATGGATTTCTTATCAAATTGTCATGGCCTTCCTTACAAGATATGACAAGCTTTTGTGGGAACTATATCATATAATACTTTATCCTTATAGTTTCCAATAGAAAGTTTGACCTTCACTTTTTGATTGACAACCATATCCTTTTTTTTTTCATTAAGCCATTAAAGCTAATAAGGTCTTGGTCAAAGAATGGTAGTAGGAGCTATTTTTTCAACAAATTTTGTGCTACAATAATTGCAACTTGATCCACTATCTACATTGAGAGAACAAACTTGTTTTAAAATTTTATATCTTGTATGGAAGATGTTATTTCTTTGTGACTTGTTCATTTCACAAGGTTGGCTTCCAAGAAGCCTTTTTATTAATAGGAGATCATGATCACAAGGATAAGCATTTTCTACCTTAGAATCTACCCCTTTTCTTCTTCACTTCCACTAAAGGTGGAAGAGCAATATGTAGTTTTCTCTTGACTACTAAAATGATCTAGGCCCCTTATGATCATGGTCTTTTTGGTGGGCATTGAGAGACAATGTGACCTCTCACTAGATACTTAAAACATTTTATACTAATAATAATAAGATGTTCAGAGGACAGGAAGATGAACTATGCAATATATATTCTAGTGGGGGAAGTTGAGTACTACTAAAGAGTCACATGATAGGTGATGGAGGCTAAAGGTACAATGGAGGATTGGGAAGGCTACAAGAGGATGTTTCTTAAGAAGTATTTTCCAAATAGTGCGAGGTATGCAAAAGAAGTTGATTTCTTAAGATTACATAAAGGGAACATAATGGTGTAGGACTATGTTTTGAAGTTAGAGAGCATTTGGCTTGCTTTTATTTCCAAGCTATCTATAAAGCTTCAAGGTGTAGAAAGTTTAGTGAGGGGTTGAGATATGAGTTAAAGAGGGTCGTGGTTCTTATGGCCATCACTGAGTTTCCTACATTGGTGGAGAAGGCAAAAGTACTAGAAAGATTATAGAGTGGTAATAAGGTGGTGAAGATGCATGAAAGGCCAACTAGGTCCAAAAAGAGTAGTCAATAGAGAAAACCTTGTGACAGACCTCCTTAGAAATAGGGGAATTTTGTTGTAAGGTGACCTCTTATAACACCTCATTGTTGAGTTCCTAATGTTAGATGTTTTAGATGTGGAGAAGCTCAATTTTTTTAAAGGTTTTTCTTTAAAAGAGACTAAGTGTTTTCAGTGTGGCAAGTTGGGCCACATAACAATAGATTGTACAGTGAAGGCTAGTCAACCTAAGGATGCACAAATGGTGGAAAGATCTACTACTATAGTTTAGGTGTTTTCTTTGATGGGAGCAAAGTGATAAAACTAGTGGAGGAGATGGTTAAGGTTTCTCTTCAACTAGCGGTAATGTGCTCCCAATCTTCTTCTATGAAACTCTAAAGCTAAAAGAAATTAAAAAATGATGGAGGAGAAGAGGTATGATGCATGCCACTTCAAGGAAGATAAGAAAGAATGGTGAAGAACTTGTAAAGAGGAGGAATTCCTTGATAAAAGTTGATAAGGAAAGGTTTTCTCCAAGAGAGAGAACTAATACTTCTGGAAGAGAAAAACTCAAAGTTTATTTCTCAAATGCTTCAAAAGTTGATGTCTAAGCTTAGGAAGGAATCATTTATAAAGTTTGGTAGCTTGTGGTGTAAGTTAAGCTAACCATGGTTACATGTAACCTAGGTTAGTTTAACTTGTAGTCAAGACTACTAACTCTAATTACAATTTTAAATTTGAATTTCCCTAAAATGTGACTATCCTAGATCTAGAAGAGTTAATAGAAGCTTGTCACATGGCAAGGCAAGGAAAGTGTGGCTCATGTTAACATCCTAGATCTAGAAGAGCCAATAAAGGCTTGTCACATGATAAGGTGTTAAAAATTGTGACTATGTGTGACTGATAGCGTTGTCGAGTTACTATCAAAAGGAAACTAGATTTCCCCTAAATATTTGCAATATAGTGTCCTTGGTCTCGTAGCTGCAGAGGCGTTGTCTTTATTTGAAAAAGTATTGTATTTTTTCTGACACACGCATGCTTTGACTTTTGGGCTTGCATTTCTTCTTCTTCTTCTTCTTCTTCTTCTTCTTCTTCTTCTTTTCCTTCCAACATGCGATCATATTGAGAGTTCTTTGCATGATTGTAGACGATGCCTGAATTGTCCCTTGAGACTTGATTCTTTAAATGCTTGCATGACAGTCTTCGTCTGCATCTAGTAGTCCATGTGCATCTCAAGACTTACTCTTCGTCTGAGCATTTGTCATCAATGCTTTGACTTCCTTTGGGTTGGTCAATATTGTTGATGGACAGACTTCATTTCTGTCTGGAATGCTTTTTAGTCAGTGTTGTCCTTCGTCTGATATGTAGTTAACTTTTGTGTGATTCTGGACCAGCCTTCATCCGAATCCTTATGATGCGCTTTATGTTGTGCTTGACACACATATGTTTGGTATTTGATCCAACATCGTCTGGTGCTCATGTCATATTTCATATTGCATTTGACTTTGCTTTGTCTGATCCTCGTGCTATTCTTTGCCTTGACTAATCTTCGTTTGGTACTTGAAGAAGTTTCATTTGTGGTCTGTATGGACTTCTTCTCGCTCTTGAATGTGTTTCGTCTAAAGCTTGATCATTTTCTTTCTTGTGCTAGACTTGGCTTCGTTCGACCTTTTCGTCTGATGCTTGAAGCTTTCCTTCCTTTATCTTAGTTCTAGTATAAGAAGTGGCACATGCTCTGTTCTTCAACTTGCCTGTACTTATATTTTTCTGAAACACTAACACACATGTTAGAAATAACAATATGTATTATATTTGTCTCATTCAAAACTTTGTTGGGAATTTCTTCGTCTAACTTAAGAAATTCAATCCAAAAATATTGGAATTTGTTTAGTTAGGTTCACCAAATGGTGCTAAGACCTAGCTAAATCAATTCCTTGGAAAAAAAAAGGGGAAAACAAGCCTAATATGTAAAATTTTGCCAAGACCCACCAAAGGACCAATTGCTAGCTTCACCTACATATTTTACTATTTTCCATGCCATTTTTACTACTAAAAATGAGAAAATCTATGACCCATAATACAAGGTCAAATGGAGCAAAAGTCTCCAAGTAACATATCCTAGAATCTTAAGGGTATAACCTATAAGAAAAGAAAAAGGTGCCTTACAAATACAAAGGCAAAATACACCTATACAAGTAGCTACTATGTACAAATACTACACAATGTATATACAATGGAAACTAAGAGACTAATAAGAAGAATCATACTCAATGCTCATGATGGGCATAGGTCTAAAAAGCACCTCCTTTGTAGAAGCCTCCTCTAGCCTCCTAACCATGGACCTAGTTAAAGGCCCAATGGTCTTCATGTGTGTACTCTCCTCGGATGGTACTCCATCATTTGTAGTTGCTCAACAACTAAAGAAATGTGGGGCCCCATCAGGTTAACTCATGAGGAGACTAAAGATGTTAGGCTCATATGAGTTGTCACACTTCAAAGGCATTATGAGTTGTTCTCCATGAAGGAGAGTGAAATCATTGATGAAATGTTTGAAAGATATCAAAAATTTCTAAATAGGGTAAAATCCTTGGGAATTGAGTTCTCAAAAGCTCATAACAACTTAAAGATATTGGATATTTTCCAAAGGCCTGGGAACCAAAGGCCACCACCATCACTGAAGCACAAGATCTTAAAGTTCTCACTCTTGATGAACTTCTTGGAACTTTTCAAGTGTATGAGATTCACTTGAATAATAGAGATCATCCTAAAGCAAATGACACCATTGCTTTAAAAAGTGGTGAATCCAACAAGAGGAGAGAAAAAGAAAAGGCTCTAAAAGCTGAGTCTAAGTCAAGCAACTTAAATGATAGTTTTGAAGACTTAATAGACGGTGAGATTTCACAAAAATCAAGATAAAGTTAGAAAGTCTAGCAAACTTGACAACAAGGAGGTTGTTACTATGAATGCGAGAAACTTGGACATTTGAAGGCTGACTATCCATCTGCCAAGAAAAGGTGGTCAAGCAAAAAAGAAGGCCAAAATAAGTCTAATGGCCACCTAGGAAGATCTTGACAGCAGTAGCAACTCAAATGAAGAAATGGCCAACATCACACAAATTCAAGATGAGTTTTATCTGTAACAGTAAGTGTTATAAGATTGTTATTGAATATATTTTAGTATATTATCACTCAAATATTTTTTAGTTGTAATTGATCATGTTCTATTAAAGAATAACATGAATGAGAATGGAAAAAAATGGTAAAAGGAACAAATTCATTGATATTGTTCTACAAGATTTATGGTGTGTTTGGATGAAAAATTTTACAAATTTAAGGAATTTTAAATTCTTGGTATTTGAATTACTTTGATTTCAATTTCTGTCATTCTTAAAATATTTTGTTTGAATAAGTCAATTCAAATTTATCAAATTTTAAATTATTAGGTTGGATATAATAATTTGATTCCACTATAGTAAAATTGATTTTAAAAATATATTTATATGTTGATAATTTTTAAATTAAATTTTATAAAAATAAATATTAGCAAAATTTTAAATATTTAATAATTTTAAAAAATTAATATTATATAATATTTAATAATCTTAAAAAATACTTTTGAATATTTAATAATTAAAACATGAAAAAATAAGAGATAAGATAAAATATGTAAGTGAAATAAGAAGAAAAAAATATGAGGAATTTCAAATTTTTACTTTTTTGGGAGAATTTGAAATTCTACTATTTCAAGGAATTTCACAAAGGCTTGAATTTCAAATTCCTTATAAATTTTCCATCCAAACAAGGTATTTTACCTCAAAGAATTTGAAATTCTTTAAATAAATGAATTACTCCATTTAAATTCCCTATCCAAACACACTATTAGATTATTAATGTTTTTGTTAAATTATTAAAAAAATAAGTTTGCTAATTTTACATTTTGCTAATATTGTGAGACTTTTAATGATTTGTTATTATGCATAGGGAACTTATATTAATAAATGCAACAAGTACTTATTCATAAATACTTTTTATATAACTTTTAATATAGATATAAAAAATAGATAGTTAACAATGTATTTATTCATATATTATTTGATGACATCCAAATCTAGATTATCTAATATTTTTGTTCATAAAAAGCACTAGATATTTCCATCACAGCTAAAAAATTAGAACGTTACAATGGTTTTTTATAATCAAAATTAGTGATGATATTGTTATTAATTGAATTTAATTTATTTTTTGAAATAATTTATTTAATTAAATTAAATAACTTTTAAATAAACATATCATAATTGAAGGTTGAATTTATTAAATTATAATATAAAAATTAGGCATCACATGGGTAAATTATCTAGTTTAATTTAAACATGATACAAGATTCTCTTATAGATAGTTTTCATTCTCTCATTAAGTCATTAAAGAATAGTTTAATAATAAAAAACAAGAATGAAGAATCTCTTGTGTTAGATCGAAGGACACCAAGACAAAATAATGACTCCCTCTTAAGATGTAGAGGACAATAGAGTCAACGATTCATCGGTCAAGACTACAGGCAACCGTATAGAATCCAAATTAAGAATCAAAGGCAAAGCTAATTTTACGGGCCAGAAAGTCATGCTATAATATAACATGTTGTAGCAAACAATTGCCTTTCAACCCTCCCATCCTTTCCTAACCATTTTCCTCTCCAACTTCATCAACATCTTCATGTAATAATATACATGCCTAAATTCCTCACCCACCAACCTTCCCCAACGCAACTAAGCTACCCTTTAAGGGAATAGCTTGATTGGGTTGCTTGAGACTTGCGTCACACAATGAGTTTGAATTGCCTCACCTGTGGCCACATCTTTCAAAGGGTAGATTCTGAAAGGGAGTCTCTCCCAGAAATGAAGGCTAGTAGGAAAGTGTCCAAGCATGTTGATAGGAATTGGTCAGGAAATATAAACCCACCACAACATGGAGGTGGGGATGTGGCCAAGATTAAGGCAGAACATCATCGACGCGCCAATAGTGAAGGCGACCTGGGTCCAAGATTGGTAAGGAGTAGAGGAATGAGAAGGGATTGGACTTTTGAGGATTTGAAAACTTGAAAGGACAACAAGGCAAGGGGCTTACATGCTACTAATTAAAAGTGTGATCATTCATTATAATATATACACACAAACTTAATTGTGATTGTTAAATACATTGTGTATATTTATTAATTTGTTGGTGGATTCGTTGAGGAAGTGTGGGAGATGTATAGATGGGTATTATTCACCAATTCTAGCATGGTGTTCCAAGCGCTTCGCAAATGGAAAATTACGATGAAGGCGCTTTTTTTGCCCCATAGTAAATTAAATCCCTAATTTTTGTTTACTTGTTTCATTTATAATTCTTTTTAATTTGGTGTCGTTCATCATTCAATTTCTTGTAATTTAATTTAATCATCACTTTCGCTACCAGTTTATAGGTGATTGAACCAATATAAGGACCAAGTCATGTTAAGTTGGTTTAATTGAATTGAACAATGCTGAAATTAGTAATAATTAATTATAATCTAAACATTATATTAATCTTGGTGGCAAAAATTAGTTTTTGAAAATGAATCAAATTAAGATAATCTTTTAAATATAATTTGATCTACGAATTTAGTGAACAAATGTATTTTATCAATGGAACCTAAAACCTCACTCGATTATCAGTTCTTTTTTGTTGAACCAACAATTTCAAAGTTTCCAACTTAGGAAAATATATAATAATAATTTGATAGAGAAAAAAAATTGTCCAACAACAAAGATGCATTAATAGAGAAATATGCAACTAAAATAAATTTCTCTAATCTTGGAAGAATATTAAAGGAATGCCAAAATACACAAGAAGCTAATATTTTAATGCGAAAATCCCTCAACGCAAAGGTCAAAACCATAGGTTAGACCAAAGAAGGGACTCTACTATGACTAATAATAATATAAAAATGTCTCCAACAAGTGTAGAAACTGGTGCTTACAATCAACCGAACAAACAAAGTACCATCACTTACAAATAAGAAACATGATGAAGAAAAACTAAAAGATGGGGTTGCTATTGTAAGAAAGTTTTTCTCTCTAGCTCTTTCACTAATTTGACTATTAAAAACTAAGGATCAAGTCTGCTAAATCCGTTGTATGAAAATCTACCTAATCCAACAATGAATGAACATTTGGTCATGATTGGATGATGACATCCTAGTAGGATATTTGTGATGAGTTTTCCTCTACCATTTTGGAAAATGAATAGGCTTTCACATTTTGTAATGAGTCTTCCTAGTAGTAAATAGGCCTTCACATTTGGTCCTTTCTCCACATTGGAATGGAGTCAAAACATAATATATTCTCCCTCATAATTATGAGAAGATAACTACCAATTTGACGATCTCACAAACTTCAAAATTTTCTTTTGGTAATGTTTTAGTCACCATATCAACACCATTATCATCAATGTGAATTTTGGTCAACTTTAATAATTTAGCATCCAAGACATCGCATATCTAATGATACCTCATATCAATGTGTTTAAACTTTGAATGAGAAGTTTAATTCTTACTAAGATGAATAGCACTTTGGTTGTCTACAAAATAAATATTTTTCATGAAAAAAACTAAGCTCTTACAAGTATTTCTTCACTCATAACAATTCTTTGCATGCTTTAGTAATGACAATGATTCCATGCTTTGATAACAACAATGAATTTTATTTCTCTAGTAGACAAATTTATACACCTTTACAATCTATACAACTAAGTCATAGTTCCCCTAAAATATTTAATTATATAGTTATATGTGAATTTTTCAAAGTTAATGTCTCCATGCATATTTGAGCTTGAGTAGCCCACCAAAGTAGGCTATCACAACTAAAACAAATCCTTATACCAATGGTAATGAAAGATACCTCAACATTTATTTCATAACATTCTAATGCTCTCTACTTTGGTTAAATACAATTATATTGACTATATACTAAAAGCAAGTGTTATATTTGGTCTTATGCACTCCATTGCATACATTAAATTACTCACCTCAAATGCATATGGAACTCGTTCTATATCTACATTTGCTATTAATTGTGGGAATACATTTATTCACATATTGCAACATATTTTATGTATCACTATAGACTAAATCTAAGTTATGATACTAGTTTAATAAATTTAATATTATGTAAAAATTTAAAACAAGCATAAATAATTAAAGTAAATTAAATTTTTGTTAGTAATGTCATAATTTTTTGTTGTCATCCACTCATGAGAAATTTGAAAATCCATAAGGTTTTCTTTTAGGCATAAATGGGTTATCACGTAGGTGCAATTGGTTAAATCAACTTAAGATTTACTACCTTGATTAAAAAGTGACAAATGACAAGTGGTAAGTTGGTTTTCATAGTTAAAATGAACCAAGCATGAAGTGGTGGTGAAAAGAGGAAAATCTTAAACAAATGACATTGGTTTTGAAGCAGAGTAATTAATTATCAAGGTTTTTGTATTCGATTACATAGTACAAAATTGTTTTACAAGAAAAGTCATTCGTGTTGCTTTAATCGATTATAGAAAATTTGTAGTCAATTATGTGGTATTCTGCTTTCAAAAACAAGTTATTTCTATTTTAATAAATTACAATAGAATGATAATCAATTATAAATGTTCGCTAGTACACAAAGGGTCTTTTACGTCGGAAAAGGGTCTGACGTTAATACGGGAGTCGTAAATTTACGTCGCCTCTGAAAGACGACGTAAATTTACGTCGGGGATTTTCCCAAATCGACGTAAAAAGGGGCAAAATCATGCCACAATTTTACGTCGGACGTGGCCTTGTCCGACGTAAATTGTGGCAATTTTTTTTTTTAAAAAACGTTTGTAAATTGATATACCCAATGCCTGCATATAAATATAATCCAGAATACCAAATCTAAACCAGCCTTATCTCTCCTGGGAACCTTCACGCTTCTCCCTCAGCTTTGGCCATGTCTTCTTCCTCCCCTGGCACCAATATATGGTATCCTGACTCTGGCGCCTCCAATCATGTTACCAACGTCTCTCACAATATACAACAATACACCCCTTTTGAAGGACCAGATTAGATTGTCATTGGAAATGGCCAAGGTCTTCCCATAAACTCCTCAGGTGTCACTCATTTCTCTTCTCCTCTCAAACCTCACGTTTCTCTTACTCTTCATAATCTTCTTTATGTTCCTACTATCACCAAAAACCTGATTAGTGTGAGTCAATTCTGTAAGGATAACTCTGTCTTCTTTGAATTTCACTCAACCTTTTGTTTGGTTAAATCACAGGACAGTAATGAAACTCTTCTCCTTGGAGTTGTCGGTCCTGATGGCTTATATCAGTTTCCATCTCTGCTTCTACCAAGACACCCTTCTGCTGTTCTGCCCTCTGCTCACACTGTCTCTTCTAATTCTGTTTCCTATGCCACTTGGCATTCTAGACTGGGGCATGCCCATAATGATGTAATCAAATCTGTATTCAAACTGTGTAACTTTCCCATCATAAATAAAAGTGTTTCTGATTTTTGCACTTCATGTTGTCTTGGAAAATCGCACAAATTACCCTCTCAGTTATCTAAAACTGTTTATCATACTCCCTTTGAATTAATCTACAGTGACCTATGGGGCCCTGCCCCTGTTTTGTCTGATAATGGTTACCAATATTATGTTACACTTGTTGATGCTCATACTCGGTTTACTTGGATCTTTTTGCTCAAAAGTAAAGCTCACACGCTTGATGTTTTTAAACAATTCCACGCCATGGTTCAAAATCAATTTCAATTACCCATTAAGGCTATCCAAACTGATTGGGGTGGTGAATTCCGCTCTTTCACCTCTTACCTAGCCCAACATGGTATTCATCATCGCATTATTTGTCCCCACACTCACCATCAAAATGGCGTTGTGGAATGCAAACATCGTCACATTGTTGAGTTAGGTCTTACCTTGCTGGCCCAAGCTCAACTTTCTATGTCTTTTTGGGATTATGCCTTCCTAACAAGTGTCTATCTCATCAATAGACTGCCCTCTTCTTCAATCCAGCAGGATGTTCCTTTTCAAAAACTGTTTCATCAGCTCCCTGACTACAACTTCCTACGTGTCTTTGGCTGCTCGTGTTTTCCTCACCTTTGGCCCTACAATAAAACCAAACTTCAATTTCGCTCTCAAGAATGCGTATTCTTGGGTTATTCTACTTCTCATAAGGGTTACAAGTGCCTTGCTCCGTCCGGTAGAATCTTCATTTCCAAAGATGTCATATTTTGCGAGAATCATTTTCCCTACCCAAGCATGTTCCCACCATCCACTCCCAGTTCATCCTCATCACCCATTTTCGTTCCTCTTGTTATCACCAACCCACAGGCTCCTGTTACCTCCACCTCTCCTTCTCCACCCTCACCACCAATCTCTACTGATTCTTCCTCCTCTCGGCCTAGTCATACTTCTCCTAGGCCCAGCCCCTCATCCTCCAACTCTTTACCCACTCGTGTTGAGGCTCCACCTGTCAATCTCCATCCCATGACTACCCGGGCTAAAGCGGGTATTGCCAAACCCCGACTGCAACCCACTCTTTTACTCACACACTTTGAACCCAAGAGCACTAAACAAGCTCTGGCTAGTGACACCTGGCTTGCTGCCATGAAGCAGAAATATGATGCATTAATGGCCAATGGCACCTGGACCCTAGTATCACTTCCCTCCCACAGAACAACCATTGGTTGTAAGTGGGTTTTTCGCATTAAAGAGAATCCTGATGGAACTGTTCACAAACATAAAGCTCGCCTGGTTGCCAAGGGTTTCCATCAGCAATTTGGGTTTGACTATACTGAGACCTTCTCTCTGGTTGTAAAGCCCGTTACCATCCGTCTTATTCACACTCTTGTTCTCACCCATCATTGGTCTATTCAGCAGCTGGATGTCAACAATGCCTTCCTTAATGGAAATCTTGAAGAAGAATTTTACATGTCCCAGCCTCCTGGTTTGAGTCATCTAACAAGTCCCTGGTCTGCAAACTTCATAAGGCCATTTATGGTCTTAAACAAGCTCCGCGTGCTTGGTTTGAAAAACTAAAGGCCACTCTGTTTCACCTCAACTTTCAGATCAGCAAGTGTGATCCCTCTCTCTTTGTTTATTCCCATGCTAATAATGTCATCTACATTCTTGTTTATGTTGATGATATCATCATCACTGGCAATAATACTGCTTTTCTCAGAAACATTGTTTCCCAACTCAATTCCGCCTTCTCCCTCAAGGATCTTGGTCGATTGGATTATTTTCTTGGTATTGAAGTCAAATCCAATTCTGATGGCTCACTCACTCTGACTCAAAGCAAGTATGTTCGTGGTCTCCTCAGTC